AGAAAAATCATGCTATGAAAAAACCATCGCTTTAAACCTTCATAAAGCCTGAAAGCTCCCGTTTGTGATCTTTTTTTCTTTGCTGATGTTTTCAAGTTGGACTGGAATTCTTAAACAGGAGAATTGTGGTGCTCTGTGAAGTTGGAGCTTGGCTAGGGCAAGGGGAGCCCGTGGCCTGATGGACATGCTTCAAGCACGCCAGCCACTTCCTTGAGAGTCTTGTGTAGTTGGGTTAGTGAAACTTGGTGTCTTGTGAAAGGTGCTACAGTGTACATTACCTGCAGCATTCCTTACCGCAGTGTGTCACAGCAAACTGCTAAGATTACCGCTACCACTGATGCACTGAAAATAAATGTGCTGAGAACCTGGGTCCATATCTGGCCTGATGGAGACAGGCTGAGTGCATTCTGCGGGGACCAAGACACCTCGGATGAGGTTCTGATGCCCACAAAGCTACATCTGACAGCAGCCAGATGGGATTTTAAAAAAAGTGTATCAAATGTATCTCTGAGTGCAAAACCATTGTGGGCATGTAGAGAAGCTCAGTGGTGCCAGTGGATCAATTCCTGAGCTTCTCCCAGCTTGCATGCCCTGGAGAAAGGCACTTGGTGAACAGGTGGCAGGGAAACTGGCATCCAGGTCTGATCTTGTACCTGTCTGTCAGGCTTCTTTAGCCTGGACAAACAGGCATTTGGGTGAATTGGGTGGTTCTAAACACCCTCTTTTCTCCTGCCAGCAGCTGGGATGATGCCAGTGACTTGGGCCTGCTCGCCTCAAGGAGACCTGCACTGAGTCTGGTGCTTGGCACAGCCCCCGTTTGTATCCTTCCTTTGTCCTAGCTGGGAGCAGTATTTTCAGAGCTAACTGCAAATCTTCCTCCAAATGCCACAGGACATGGAATTTCAGTGCCAGGCAGGTCATGTAAAAAAAAAAGCCATGTACTCTCTCATGGCATCTGGGGACATTTTTAGATGAAGGTCATCACTAGGGTTTGGGAAGTACGGGGCTAGAGAAGCGTTCACATGGACTGGCCACCTCTGGTAAACCTCTCCACTCTTGGCTTGTGGCTGCTGGTGGAGACTAGACAGCAGAGCCAAGGAGCAGCTTGGGGCTGACACTTTTTGGGAGATTTGGTAAAAAATCATTAAAGGATAAATCCATGGGGCTTTGAAGTGACTCAAAGGTGACACAGGGGAAAGGAGATTTGGCAGCAATGTTAGAACTTGATACCAGAAGGGTCTCCTGGAAGGCAGCTTTCCTGGGCTGACTGCAGACTTGGAGCAGCTCTAGTGGCTGTCGCTGGATGTACGGGGCAAACTGACAGGGAGTAAAGTAAGGCGCGGGATTAGTAGGTGCATAGATACAGATGGCAATTGTGGGGAAGTAGCGTTTATAAAGTGCCCATGACTGCAGCAACAGGTCGCCTGCAGTGCTGGTAGTGGGGCCGTCCAGCCAGAGGCCGGGGGGGCCAGGGCTTCCTCTGGCTGAGCCTTGCGGCTCCCTGCTCCCCCTGTCCCAGCGCTGCACCACTTCTCCCGGGAAGGAGTTGTTCCAGCCGCAGTCTCAGGGTGCTCTACAGTGTCGTGGATCCCCAAGAAGATGCGTGTATAACTTGCGGGGTTTCCCAAAAAAAAGCAGTTTGCCGAAGCATCTGTGAAGGACGTTGCCACGGGACAAAAGGCAAGCTCCAGCGTGTCTGACTCGCTAAAAAGCCGGAAAGACCCTCTGGGAACAAACGCTGCCCTTGCTGCCACCCTCCGCAGCCGCCCTGGGGATGCACGGAGCGCGCTTGCCGCCCCGAGTGCGGGCGGAGGTACGGACGGAGCAAACCGGGCCGGGCGGGGCCGCGCCGGGCGCAGCTGTTCCCGGCCGGGAGGGGCGGCGGGGCCGGCCCCGCTGAGTGACGGCCNGCTCGGCTCGGCTCGGCTCGGCTCGGCGCACGGTGCGGTAAGCGGGCGAAGGGGCGGCGGGCCCGGCCCGTATCGGGGCAGAGCATTTGGCCAGCACGGACAGAAATAGCGGTCCGGGCAGCGCGTAGCAAGGGCACTGCTTGGGCGCTGGGTCGCCCTCCCTGCCTGCCTGCCTGCCGGGATGCGCGGAGCCGGCGGCAGGCGCTGCGGCAGCCGGGATCCCGGGCCGGGAGCGGAGGCGCTGGGATGGATGGCAGCCGGCGGCGCTCACGCGTGTCCGCGGCAAATCCCGGTGGGCATGGTGGGAGAGGGCTCGGCGCGGTGCTGAGCGGGTTGCAGAGGGCACCGAGAGTCCTTTTTTACTGTTTTCACTTGCGCTTGTAATCCAGGGACCCCTTCTGGGAGACAGTTTTCCAGAAAATGAATCGCTAGAAAGCTGTGCTGCGTTTGTAAGAGAAAAGTGGAAATTAGCAGGGGGAGAGGCTCCTTGAGGCCGTTCGTTGTGTTTGCCTTGGTCCTACTTTCTCCAGCTTGAAATAGTGACTGCCTTGAAAAGCATTGTCTATCCTAAAAGATAACCTTTCTTCGCTCAGATGGACACAGCTTCTGCTCTCACTCGTGTGCTCATTTGTTGCCCTCTGCTTTTTAAATAGTCATGGATGGTTTGTTGGGCAGAATCCACAGCCCTCTGCCTCCCTTCAGAGCCAGCTGCTCCCCCCTTATGTGGAGGTCCTTTCTACTCGCTTTACATCTTTCCTTGGATGTTGGGCCTTGAGCCACAAGAGTGTTCAGCCATGTGACTGAAGTTGGTTTTAAGAGTTTTAATTTTTTTTTTAATCCCTTTCTCATGTGTGACCTGCCAGATCATGCAGCAGTGAAGAGTGACTTCCTCAAGATTTATGCTGAGAGATGGCACCTTTTCTCAGACTATCTGATAGAGCAAATACTGGGCAAGCTTTTTGGGCATGGAACACCTACTTCAGGTTATAGTAGCGAGCTCTTTTGCCCTCTTGAAAGGAGGAGCTGGGCTACAACATGAAAGCCAAACACCACCTTGCTCGCACTGCAGCGCCCGAAGCCAAATGCCTTTTGCAGTGCTGTCTCTACAGCCTCTGTACCTGTTGCCCTAATGCACGCACGTCTGGGTATTCCAACAAGCACGCTGCATCACAGGCTCGCTGCTTCTCATTTCAAAGTCTCTGTTTTCCCCCCCCCGTCAGGGCTCTTCCCCCACCCCTCCTCCAGCACTGCATTGTCTTCCAGCCTGACTCATCTTGCTCTTCACACTCTTCTCAGCTGTGATGATCTGCTGCCTTTTCTCCAGATACTGTGGCTTTGGATAATATTGGAAATATGTTGCTTCCCCCTCACCCCCTTACTGTATTTGGGAAAGCCAAACAGATATGGAAATAGTCTGGTCTATCTCATTACTGATTTTCTTCCCCCTAGTTTTACTTTCATTCACCCAAAGGGCCGTTTGATTTATCTTCACAAAAGATCCTGAATTAACCTTTTGTAAGAAGCACCAGTCCTCTGTTGCCAGATGTGTAACTCCTATTACCCAGAGCAGTGTGCTACTAAATGTAGTGTTTTCAGGTGAATTGTACTTTTCTGTGTGCTGCTTCACTGTTTTTCAGGTATGTGGAGTTTTTGCGAAGGCACAGCTTGGGGGAAGGAAACTCTGATCTGCCTTCTGGTTGTTTTCCTCTGTAGCTGACAGTCATTTGCACATCATGAGCTAGGAAGACTGTCTTCACTCCTCTATTCAGACAGAGACCTGTAGCAAAATGTCTTCACTTGGTAAAATTACCAGGCTCTTGGAAGAAACAGGACAGAAAGTTGTGTTCCAAGGTGCTAAATGCCCCCATGTCCTTGGGCACGTGGGTGCAGCCCCAGGGAGGCTCTGTGGCTCTCTAGCCCATCCCCACCTCACAGCAGACCTCTCCTCAGACAGGAAGGCTCTGGCTTCACATGGCCTGTGTCTGCAAATCCCCAAAGACGGAGATTCCCCCACTTCATGAAGCCTTGCCTTAGAGCTGCATCACCCTCCTGGGAGGGAATTCTTCCTACTTGTTCATGGTGAATGAGATAAACTCATAAAAGAGGTTATCCTGGCTCAGACCAAAGCCTGTACATCCCAGGACACTATGGCTGGCAGCAGCCTGGGGAGAAGCTTGGAAGCAAGGTTGCAGTGATGCTCCCCAGAGCTCTTGCCCATGCAGGCTCTGTGCAGCTTGCTAGCTCTCCCAGCTGGAGCTGTTTTCTTTGCGTCTGCAGTCCTTGCAGGATGGTGTGGGGGTCTTGCCTCTGTTAAGTGCCTCGTTCAGGTTTGGTGCACCCTGCATACTCACTGCTGCTGGAACAGCGCTCATTGGGCTTCCGTGTTAATTAAGCATCAGCCTGTCTGGGGCTGATTAGCTGCACCTTGGTAGGGCATTTCACTGCCATTCCCTGTGCTTCAGCCACGCTAGCAGCAGGGTGGGATTGGGATGTGCAGACATTCATGGGTTACTAACAGCACACTGTCCTTTGGCTCTTTGGCAGTCTGGCAGGGCTCTTTTACAGGACATGGCCATTGCCTGTCTGAGGATGTGAGGCACTGCTCAGTGCAAGAAAGGAGTCTTTCTGCTCCTGTGTTCACAATGCACCCATCAGGTTCCCTGCAAAACCAGAGTGTGTCACAGAAACAGGGGTGTCCGTCTGAGGACTAAGAGAAACCCAGTAAGAAACCCAGGATCACTTTCCAGAGGAGATTGTGCTGGCTGTGAAGGTTCCAAGTGGAAGGGTTCAAGTTACAGAGCAGGAACTGGGTGCAGAGTGTCACTAATGACTCAAGTGTGCCCACATGCTTTTTGCAGGGATTAGTAATTAAACAACTCAGTGCATGCCAGGTGCATGAGAGAACCTCACCCCAAATAGGAGAACACATAACTCTGTTTACAAATGTGTGTCTTAAAAATATGTGAAGTGGGGGAGATACAGCTGGGATGCTTTGTGTTTGGGCTTTGTTAGTTCTTGGCCTGGTCACCAAACATCCAGGCTATTTGCTGATGACAAAGACCACTTGGTGAGCACCAGTATTGAGTTGTGTGGCTTGCAGGCTGCAGGGCTAGTGACAGCAGGAGAGCCAGGAGATACAGGCAGTTTCTGGATACTGGGTGAGGAGCTGGGTGAGCTGAGAAGACTGAAGAGAGTACAAGCAGTGTGAGACTTTCCTCAGCACTAGTGGATAAAGGGAGAGGTTACTTACCTTGAGTGCAAGGAGCCTTCCCCAGTGTGTGCATCACCTCAGACAACAAGATGTTTGCTGTGGAGCTGTCAAGGATGGGAATGTCAGCTCTGACATGAGGATATCTATCCATGGGAGTAAAGCTGCATCATCAGTAAGTCTTGCCTATGGCCTATTGGACTTCACTGCTGCAGGGGTTTGGGTAGTGGTGGTAACTCCAGATAGTGTTACATGCTCTGCATGGCTGGTATGTCACTTCAAGAGTCAGAAGTCATGTGCTTTGAGAGACACAAAATGCTTTCTTCCAGATGTTTCCTTTCAAATATGAATTTCAGGATGTCTTAGATTAACAGCTGCTAGTTGGGAGGAAACCTAGATCTTCCTTGGAGAAGTTTCAGTTTCCTGAAGGGACAGCAGATTTGCTGTTGGATTTGCTTGAGAGTGAGCCTCCTGCAAAGAGGCTGAGCGTGCCTCAGTCTTTCTTGTTGATGGCTGACTTGCCTGGAGCAATGAGAGTGTGTGCTCTGCTTTCCACATCTGACATGGCAGAGCTTCTCACCATCCAGAGCATCCCCTGTCTTTTCTCTGTCCACCCTCCTCATCCAGAATTTGTGGTTTTTCTTCTTTAAAAAACATTTCCCTTTAGGCAGCACATGACTGACTGCGGCTGGGTTCCTCTGCAGTCTTCCCCTCTCCAGACTGAATAAGTCCAATTCCTTTTGCTTGTTCAGTTTGGAAAGACCTGTCTTCTATTGCAGACATCAAATTGCATTGCAGCATCCAGCTGCATGCTCAGGGGTGTTAAGCAGAGGGTCCCCTTTGGGTCTCCCACGTAGGTCTCCTGGCTGGACACTTCCTAATGCATCTTGGACTCCAAACCTAGAGCAGAGTCTAGCAAAAGTCTTTTGTAGCTTTAACTAGAGTTTTCATCATCTTGTACATTCAAGGAGATGGTGTAGAGCCCAGGCAGGCCAACAGTACTTGATGCTGCAGCCTGGCTGTGTGTTTATGGCTTGTTAAAATGATGCTTTCCTTTCTGACTATAAAATGAGATCTGCTTGAAAAGGGATCTACAGAAACGTGCAGGAGCCCATTACCCTAAAGGACTGGTCTTAGGCATTTATCTTCCTTTCATTTTAAGAAGAACAATGTACATTCAAAAGTAAACTTTTGAAGGTCTGTACCCCAGGTTCAGGACATGTACTCGCTAGCAAAGCCACTACAGGGCTCTGTTGTGTCTGTGAGAGAAGGGACTGTGGGGCCGAGGTGTGGTGTTTGCATGTGAGATGTGCTGGTAGGAGACACGTCTGTACCAGCACAGCTGCACTGACTCCCCTTGTGGGCAGGGTCAGTCGTGGTCACAAGCACCCACCAGTGAAGACTTCTGTTGTGTGTGGCTGTGTCATGACACTGGGGATGGATCCAGCTCCTCCTCGGCTCTGCTCTGATTTCCTGCTGGGTTTTGCACAATTCACACAGATTCCCATTTTTAGATGTGGTCTCAGGGGGCTGATGTGCATCTTTCCCCTTGTTGCTACTGGATCTGGCCATAATTTGTTGGTCAGTTCTTGAAACTGCAGGGAGCTGGTTATGTCTGGTTGCCCAGTGACTCAAGAAGCATAGTTGACCATGGAGTCATCAGCACCTAATTATGTTGGGGTGCAAGCTCAGGGTTTGAAAATTGTCCCAGGAGGAGAGAATCAGCAGAGACTTGCTTTTTGGTGGGTTGATCTCCTTCATCTGTACATCCCCACCCTGCCTGCTCCAACATGACGTGTGTAACAGCTATCCCTCCTCCAAGTGCTTCTGGTAACCCCCACCTAGCCTTAGACCACTGTGCAAGTGCCCCAGCTCTCCTTCATTTCCTGACTGTCAGCCAGAGAAGATCTCTAGGCTGACAGACCCTTTGCACACATGTGCAGCTTCCTGAGAAATAAGGGTCTGAGTCCTGCATGAGATTTCATTAAGGTTCACCACTGGCTTTAAGGTTTGTCAGAGGACTGACCACATAAGAAGACAGTTTTTATTTAGAAAAAAGCTGGAGGTGATTTTTTCCTCTCATCTGCACAGCATGCATCTTGGATCTGCACCTGGGTGACTCACTGAGATTTAAGTGTATGCACAGAAAGTACCTACTAGTTTCTCTTGAATTTATAGGAAATGGTTACTTGAGGTATGTATAGCTCCTCCATCAAAAAAAATCCCAGCCACTGGCATTTATCTTTTAAGTTATGCTGCAAGTCAAAGGAAAAAAAAATTATTATTGTAGCAGCTGTAGAGGGGATGGTTGATATTGGTTTGTTATTTTTATACTGCAAAATAGTAACTCTGGACTTTGACTCAGATTTATACTTAAGCTATTAAAAAAAAAATCTCATAAATGAAGACCCTGTGTGAGTCAAGCAGGAACAGTTTTCAAGCCATCCCTCATTATATGAATTCCTGCCTTCACTGCTCCTTAAATACAGCTTTCATCCTGAAAAGACTTCGGCCTTCAAACTTGGCAGTTTTTTCAAGAATCATCAATAGCTATGCTGGTCATGCTTGGCTACCTCCTTATCCCAAAACCCAAGCCCCGTGGTCTGCTTTCACATTTCAGAGCACAGGAAAGCTTTTGTGGTAGACTCATGGGCTGTCTGGGGCAGGGATGTTAATTTTTTTTCAGGCATGGCTCTCATTGTGTGGCAGAGGACACAGAATTCCTGTCCTCTGCCTTTGGTGGTTGTTGGGTGTGGCGAGGGATGCCCCAGACCCTCCCACGTCCCGAGCCTTGGGCATGGTGCTGCACGCTGCAGCCTGGGCAGACCCCCGAGCCAGGCTTGGCTTGGACTGATAACAGAATTTATCCCTGGAAAGCCCTGCACCTTTGCTGAGCTTAGTTGCTCTTTCTCCCTGCGTTTTGCTGAAGGGAAGTGCTTTCTGTGCTGTCCTGCTGTTGGCATGCTGGCGCGGGAGGGTGTGCGGGGAGGCGCTGGGCTGCCCGGCCAGATGTGTCACACAACATGCACCAGATGTGTCACACAGCATGCACCAGATGTGTCACACGGCATGCCCGACACAGCACCCGCGGCTTCCACTGCGACAGTTTTGTATTTTCTTCAAATTTGTCTTGCTGCTCTTCCTGTCACTTTACCCACTTCTTCCTCTCCTCATTTGTTCTTTTTCCTGGAGCTGTTGGATCACGGGGGGATAATCCAGCGGACCCTTCAACTTGGTGCTGCTCCACAGCCTTCCCGAGCAGCCTGCTGTAGCCTAAGCCCATTGCTGCCCTGCTCCTGCCCTCCCTGCTCACCCACCTGAAGAGCACAGCCAAGTACTGATGCCTGCCCTCGGCGGGTGGTGAAACAGTGGGCCCACGTGGGCAGCTTTCCCAGATGGATTCCCACCGTTTCCCTGCGCAGACGTCAGTGCTGCTCTCAGGTTTCGGCACCCCAAAAAGGTTATGGTGCTGCAGGGGGCTGTACGAGTGCAAAGCACTGTGAAAGGATTATTTCCAGTGTCATACAGGATGCTTTTCATTTTCACTTATTTTCAGCATCCATTTGTTTGCTCAGCACTTTTGAATCCTTCAGAAAGAAACTGTTCTATCGCCCTCAAGATTAGCAATGTTGTTTGGTTTGGTTTGGTTTGGTTTTCCCATATTCATGGTAAGATCAGTCTTTCCTGAAGATGACCTTTTATTATCTCCCAGCCAATTAAAGTTTTCTCCTTTAACAGTTTTAACAATTGTTGTGCATTCCAGCCTGTGTGCTGTTCAGACTTACTGAGTGCAAGTGCTTGGGCTGTCTTCCTGTGTGACTGACAAGTACTTTGAACAAAGACACCTAATATCTTGCTGTCTTTGTAGTCTATATGAATTTCAAATTTTTGAGGACTTAAAGCTGCAGCAGTGTCAGTTCTGTGCAGTATCTGCATTTTGCAATTATATTCTTTTGTGATGCCTCCCTGGTTGATTGAATGGAGAGTGATAGGGTTAATGAAAAAGAGTGAGAACTCAAGTTGTGCTGAAGGATCTTGTTGTTTAGTTTGAGCTCAGCTAAGGTGGGACCTGTGTTAAACCATGCTTGTACTCACACAAGTCAGGGAGAACTGTTTTGTGGTGGTGGGTGTTTCAGTACTCTGTACAAACAAAAACAATCACATTTAGGCAGAATTTACCTTATCACTGGCACTTCAAAGCCCTCTTCCTTCCATTTAGAGCAGATGGGCTGGTTTGCTTTTTCTCCCAGCACTCATTAGCAAGATAGGGTAGAAGAGGCCTGGGATGTGGAGATAAGGGAATGCCAGCGAACATACTGGTCCTGGAGGCCGTGCTGGAGGACACGGTGCTGAACGGCAGGTTCTGCAGGCAGGGGAGCAGAACAGAATGTCCTCCTGCCACGGGCAAGGCTGGTGCTCCTGTGAGCAGCCTCCCAGTGTGCTCTCTGCAGGAGATGTGCGAGGCGCCAGCACCGTCAGGCTGCACCCGCAGGTCTGGGAGGACACTGTGCCCCCCGACTCTTCTCTCTGGGGTACATAGCAAATTAAATTCTCTCCACGGGGATTTCAGCTGCGTTTCAGCAGGCTCTGCACCTGTCTTCAACCCTCAGGGCCTTTGCTATATGCAGCCTCGGCTTCATATCTCTGCAAGATGCTTTGAAACCCGAGGCGTTTTCCAGAAGCGTTGCCTGTGTGCACTGACATCCCGTGTCTGTCCTGCCTCTCGGTGCTGACATCTCTGTCCTTCTGGAGGGAGGCAACAAGGTCACCCTGCGGGGCTGCACTCTGCTCCCAGACAGGCCCCTGCTTGCTGTCTTGCCTGCATTCCTGGGAAGGGTCTGTGGCTGCCTCTGAGAATAGTTGTCCTCGTCTAGCCAAGACAGATACTGCTCTGTGTGTGGCAGGAATTTTAAGCCACTATAGAGAATTTAGCAGCCTGGGGTGGGTTATTCTCTGCTTTTCTGCTTGCTCCTAGCTCCAGCTCCTTCCATGGCAGAATGGTCAAAACTACATATGGCACATGAAATCCAGGCTAGTTGTGGCTCATGCGCTGCAATCTAAGGCTGCAGTAGCACAGCACATATCCAGATCCAAGTCCAGGATGCTTTTCTAGGATCTCCTGCCTCAGTGTTCATGGGTAACTGCAGTAAAGGCTCTGCCCTTCTCTGTGCCTGCAGGAAGGGCAGGCTTGCAGGGACTGAGCTGCTGGACATGGCTCGTAGGCTGCCCGGTGTGTGGCTGCTGCCCGCCAGCCTCGCAGCACAGGGAGCCCTGCACTGAGGGCTTCAGGGCACTGGTGGAGCACAGCAGCGTGGGGTTCCTTCCCCATCACCCAGCCAGACCCACTGAGCCCCAGTGCTTCCTCTCTGCCCTCCTGGCTGCCCTTGCCTCTGGTGCCCACAGGTTGATGGCTGCTCCTTGGAGCAAACCAGCCCAGCGAAAAGCTGATTTTCACCCTCTCAGTTCCCAGCTGAGGCAGCTTCAGGGGCTGTTTCTCCCATCAAGAAGGCACCATCTCCTCACGCTTCACCTCCTAAGTGGCGAGTGGCAGGAATGTGAGTGATGCAGGAATTGCCATCACACTAGTGGGAACCAAACATCTGACAAGAGGACAGCTTCTAAATTTAAGGGCTTGCTGTTGAGCAAGCATGTGTGCATTACTGTGCCCTTTTGTGACCAAGCTAAAGATAATTTTCCTATCTTCAACAGCAGCTGTGTTGTAACTTGTATAAAGAAACTTCTCCACTAATGAAGAGTGATCATAAGAGCATAATCTGTCCTGAGGGGACAAGCAAAGCTGGAAAGATGTGATTCAGAATAGGGCTCTGACGTTCCACAAAGGCTGAAAAGAGACCATTTATAGAAACTCAAAAGATGTTTGGCTCCGTAAAAAACACACAGGCCTTGCTGTTATTTTTAATGTAAATGTCACTCAAAAGAATAGCAACACTTTAAGAAAAGTCACTTTAAATTATCTAGGACTCGGTATTCTCTGCAAAAAAATATAAATGTACAGGCAGTGCTGTGGAGCAGAAAGAGACTCTCAGCAAAAGAGCAGGGTTGCTTTTTTGTGTTATGCTGAGTGTACTTTTAACCCACCTGCATGTTTTAAACACATTGACCTTTTTCTTTGCAGTCTTTTTGCTTGTCGAGGTCCAGTTACGTGCATATGATTGTGTATGGCACATTATATTAGGAGACATGGGCCAAGCCTTGGGGTCAGCAGGGATTATCCAGATAGGCCATTCTCTTCTCTTCTTGAAGGATTGGTGTAGAACGTGCAGTAGCACACAGGTCAGCTGCTTAGCTGGCAGCAGTGCAAACATGTGCTGTCCAAGGAAAGGTGGGTCACTAAATACCACGTTTAACTGGGAGCCTCCTGAACCTGAGTGGATAATACTTCCTGATCTCCTTGTGGCTTTAAAACACAGGAAGAAGTGCCATGCACTGTAGCCTCGTGGAGGTTTTCAGGGCTCAGAGGTACTCAGTGGTGCTACAAATCTGTTTTCTCATCCGGTAACAATGTTATCTGGAGTGCCATGTGCAGGGCAGTGTTACTGGGGGCTTGTAAGGACATGAGAGCTGCATGCTTCATGACCTATTGTCCTTCAAATAAATAAGTGCCTAGGATACTACATTAACATCTAGCACTGCTTGCAGAAAGACATCCCTAGCCAGGGTCCTGTACCAAGACGTTCCTCAGTGCTGTCCCATGAATCCATGGTGGGGCGATGTGCTACCGGAGCTGCGCTGCTCTCGCGTCTGTGGGTGATTATCTTCGAGTGGGACATGAAAGGGGGGCCCTGAGCAATCTTTTGGAATCAGCTATGCTTTAAGCACAAATCTCCAACTCTGGAGTGTTCGGTGTTCCCCAGCCAGGCAGGCTGCAGCGTCATGCTTCATGTGTTCAGAGTTAACGCTTCTTGTTTTCATATCAGATTCTGTTACAGCAGGAGAGTGAGACCCACGGGACTCCTCTAAGATGTCTTACAGAAAGGAGCTAGAAAAATACCGAGACCTAGATGAAGATCAGATCCTTGGAGCTCTGACAGAGGAGGAGCTCAGGAAGTTAGAGAATGAACTGGAAGAGCTGGATCCTGATGTAAGTAATTTTTAATTGAGACATTAGGTTGTGAATCTTAGTAATTGTGGGGGGAGTGGGCTGCATTAATAGTCTGTATTTCAGTGGGATCCTTTGCAGAGCCTGTACTTGGAGCAAGAGTGGAAGAGACTGGCTGCAGATACACAGAAGAATATTTTGCCATTGGAAGCACAGTCTACATGTATATCTTTGTTTCTGTTTTCCTGCCCTTTTCCCAATGTGATGAGCATCTGTGATTTGCACCAGCAATATGAGCCAGTGCTGGTGCAGTGCAGTAATCCTGTGGAAAATGGATCTCTGTTTCTGAGCAGGCCACCTTGGAGGGAATGCTTTGTGGCTTGCTTGGTTTTAGGGTTTTCTGGGGGTTTTTTGGTGTTTTGGGTTTGGGTTTTTTGGTAACAAACTTCAAATGGCTTGTATTTTCCTCCATTTAGGCAGAAATCCAAATCCCAGAGTTTTGCAAAGTGGGACAGTTTATTTTTAGCACCCTCCTAGCATCAGCAGGAGCTGCACATACGCAAACATGGGGTCTGCTGGTGCCAAGCTGGTGAAAGGTTTTTGGAGCCAGCTCTGTCCTGTTGCAGGGATGTGCAGAGCCAACTGGCTGGCCTCTGGCTTGCGGCAATGTTACTCGAGGAGCTTGGGCACTGCCAAGTGAGAAATTGCTCCTGCAACATGCAGTTAGTGTTTCTGGAGTAAACGATGGGTGATGTAGATTGCATCATCAGTATTTTTAATTGTAATGCAGGAAAATATTTGAGACCTGACAAACTAGCTCCCAGGATTAAGCGTATGGGCTGATGGTTACAGCTACCTCAGAGGACAAAGAGTCAGGCAGCATTCTGTGAAAGATGAAGAAAGGTAAAATAATACGGACATCTGTCAGTGCAGGTGTAGTCTGCTTGAAGATTGCATAGTTGCTTCTCACGGCATGAAGCCTGTGGAAGCAAGCTGTCTCCTACTCCTTCCTGCTTGTGCAATTCACACACTTCTCTTGCCCTCCAGGGTTGCCTGGGTATCACTGCTTCCTCGTAGTAATTTTCCTTTCCAGGCTTTTCACTGATACAGATATAAATTATAATGAACTCCTTTTATCAGGCAGGCATGGAAAAGTCAGTGTGTTGTTCAGCATCACCTTGGATGTCTTAAAAAGTAAATGTTGACTTCTATCCAGTAAAGCTTTAAAGAACATGCTTAGTGTCAAATCTGGGAATAGTCTTACTTACTGCATTAAGGCTGTTCTATATTTAAATATAAGCAGGTGTTTACGTGCCATATATGTCAAGCACAAACCAACTTCCCGTGGAGGCTTACGTGACTGAATAACAAGGAGGCAGCTTGGGAAAAAAGCTGGGGTTCACAGGGGCTTTGCTCTGCAACCAAGTGATCTTCTCTGTGTAGTTTTCTAATGGATCCTGAAAGGCAGAAGAGACCACCACAACTCTCTGATCTGCTCTGTGAAAGAGAGCAGAGAATGAGATTTAACTGAACTGATTCTTGTTGGGACACATGGAGCAATGTGGGCACTTGGACAGACTCATATAGTGGGGGGAAGGTGGCTGAGAGCTTCCAGAAAGAAAGGACCGGAGCTGATGTTGCAGAGAAACAGCTACTGGGCAGCATCTGAAACTGAAGGGGGGAAGGAGCATCACATGTCTTGGATGATGTGGGAATCAGTGGGGCTGGATGAAGATAACCTTTGACACAAGGAGAAGCAAATTGTCCAGCACTGTGGAAGAAGGGTGGTGCAATGAGGGCAGTGTAGAGGGAAGAGTGACAGATGGGGATTGTAGCCTGCAGAGATAACCCATGTTTCTCCCCTCCATTTCTAGAATGCACTTTTGCCAGCCGGGCTCAGGCAGCGGGATCAGACGCAAAAGCCACCAACTGGCCCATTCAAAAGGGAGGAGCTCATGGCCCACCTAGAAAAGCAGGCAAAGGACATTAAAGACAGAGAAGACTTGGTTCCTTTCACGGGCGAAAAGAGAGGTATGGCCATCCCTCGCACCATGCTGGGTGCATCACAATGGAGCCATAGTGGGTGCACTGCAGAAGGGTTATGTCTGAGCTGTGTTGATAAAACTTCTTTTTGACACTACTGGGGTGGTGAATCTGCTCTCTCTGCTGCCTAGCCCCAGCCCAGGGGGTGCTAAACTGGGGTGTGCCCAAGAGGCCCCTGTGCTGGCTGATTTGGGCACCACCTGATATGTTGTTAAATGCTGGACAGAAGTTGTACCGCTGTGCAGCCTTCTCCCATCCCCATGCCACTGCATCTGTATCTGGTTCTGGGAAAGAAATCATCTTCTGTCCTCTCCTGTTCCACCTTGCCCTGTTCTCCTGTGAGCTGCTCATGTTAAGCTCCATGTTTCACTGTTGCCTTTCACACTCCATTTTGATTCTGTGAGCTTCTCACTGTAAAGAAACTCTCTGCAGCTACGATGAGGCCCAGCAGTTCCCATCTAGTTTTCATAGTCTCTTGACAACTCCACCCTTATTTCCCAGTCTCCTGCAGGTTGCTTGTTTGTGTCTTCCTGCGCTATACCCTGCAGAGGCTGCTGCACTCCTGCTCTGCACAGCCCTGAGGGCTGTGAGCAGGGGTTTTTCTCTGTCTCGTTTCTTTTTCTCTGCTTCTGGCATCTTTTGCTGTTTTTCTCATATATGACCCATTATCCAAGTGACTTTCCTGTTCCCGTTAGAACTCCAAATATCATCTGACATGGGACACGGTCTGGTCAGTCCTTGCCTCTGCATTCCAGGAGCTTCTCAGCAGCTTCTCTCAGCTGTTGTGTCTCCCTCTGTACTGTGATCCCCCCCTGCAGCATTAGCACTACTCATGCTAATGGTTGTCCTGTATGAATAAAAAGTGCATGAAAATGCGGGCCTATGAACATCTTTCCTAACTGAAGGTCTTTCTGAAAGATGCCTCCTTACTGACCGACATGGCTCTCTTGAAAACAGCTTGTGGGAAATCTGTTCATTTAATAAAATCTGAGGTGGTATTTTTAGATTAAAAAAAAAAAAAGTAAAAAAAGTAGTCCTTGAGAGAAATAAATGAGTAAATTGACTGCTATCAGGAAGAGTGGTTTGATACCTTTCAGATGTGCCCCAGTGCAGTGTTGCTTACCCACCTGGCTAGGCCAGAAGGTAGAAGCAGTGTTCTGCAGGAGGCAGAATTATTTCAAGCATTTTGAGTCTGCAGCATCATACTTCAGTCTGTTGTGATCTCAAATGCATGAAACATATTTTCATTTGTAACACGCTGTTGAGAGGAGACACTACTTACATTGACTGTGAGCCAGAGATGGTAAATTACATATTCACAGCTGTGATGAAGCTGTAAATAAATCACCACGTTTGCAGTTTGGAGGGTGATTTACTAGTTGGCCATGGGAGGTGCTGTCCTTGTCCGTGCTGCTGGGCAGGGAGGGAGCTGGGGTGTGCAGACGTACTGTGTTGTGACATAAAATGTCATGCATTGTCTTCATCATGTGTGCATCGTTTAACTTAAAGTTCCATCTTGTAACAAAGCATAACTGAAATACAAAACTTTCTAAAACTTAGAAATTGACTGAAGTTAGGTAACCAAAATTAAACTAGAATTAAAGCCCAGAAATTCTGGTGTCATTGAGGTGTCCGAAGGAGTTACTGCAAGACAGCAGAATTAAGTTAGCCCTGTTTCTCTTGTTGCAGAAGGTACATACAGCTTGCCCAGCCATGCATCTGGTGGGACAGGGGTTCCAGATCTCCACACCAAGCCAGGGCAGACATTTTGCTGCTGAGTACCCAGAAGGTGCCTGGCTGTGCAGGCACATGACACTCTGCCTATTTTTGCAAGAGCAGCTGTGTCCCAGGAGGCAGATTCCTGCTCTCTGTCAGAGTGGCAGCGTGCAGGCAGAGCACAGGAGCAAAGGCTGTTTATGGCAGCCTCCATTTTGCCCCAGGGGACCCTGAGGTGCAGTTGCTTCTTCCTCGAGGCTAAATTTAGCCCCTTTCTGCATATCCCTGAGCAGCAGGATTGTTTCTCCCTTCTGGTGCCACTGACTCTGGTTTCAGAGAGGTGACAAAAATAGTCCTGGCTGGCATGCTAGGCCAGACCTTTTGCAGCCACTATCTCTGCAGTGATCCAAGACTATTTTAGGGGAGGGGACTGCTCCAAAATGTTCCCAGAACCCTCCTCCCCCTGTCCCAGCAATGCTGGATTTACTCAGCAGACTGCTCCCTACTGTGGAGTGTTAAAACATCACAAGCCTCTCTCTTTTCTTTTGGGCTGTCAGAGGTGGATGTGAAATGCCATGCCGTGAAATCCCACACCTGCCCATTCTGCTTCTGAGGAGGATCTGCTGCCCATTGCAGCATGAGCAGTAAGGAGCTGGGAGCAGCTGTGCAGGGCCATCAGCCCTGTCACTCTCCCATTCCTCCTGGGATGCAGCCAGCCCCGGCAGAGAAGGCGTTGTGGCTTGCCCAGGATTGCCACAAGCAATGGGGTGGGGACTGGCAGGGAGCACTGCCTTCAAAGCTCCAGCCTCCTGTCCATGCGGACACCCCCCTTAGGAAAAGGCCATAAGCAAGCAGCTAAGACAACAGGTTTGCATTACCAGCTGGACCTGTGGATTTGCACCTTTGAATCGTAGGGAATAGGTCTGGTTTTTGGCCTCTTGCTGTCCAGAGAGACAAAGCACAGGGATCTCCATCTGGCATGCTCTTTGCAATAGGGTTGAGCTATTTGGGCAGCTGCCCTAAGCCTGCTCCTCCTTGCATCCCATGTGTTCACTGAAGTGCTGTCTCTACTTGCTCCTTTCCACCACCTCCTTTCCACCACCTCCTTTCCACCCTCTTTTGACCAATGTGCCATCTGCCTTGCCAACATGCACAATAGCAAGAGGTGTCTCAGTGGCAGGACTGATCCTGCACAGTGCTGGGTACAGGCCCCTCTTGAGTGCTGGCAAACCTTCATCCCTTTTGTGCAGCCTCCAGAGAGGTGAGGACCTGCAGGGTCAGGCTGTGCCTGCCTTTCCGAGTGCCGGGCTATGAACAGCCATGGTCCTGTACCAATGTGCTGTTGGGTTTCTGTGGATGCTGCCCTGCTGGAAGGGCTGAGCCCATTCGCAGCGCAGCAGGACTCAGACCAAGCTGATGGAAAGGGATTCAGTTTCTCTTCTGATTTTTCTCTTGTGCCCCCTCTGTCCTTTCTACTTTTCAAATCTCACAACATGGAAATGCATCTGCAAGAGTAGCTGTGAACTGGGTGCTGTAGCTTATACCGAGTGACCTCGTTTTGCATTTATAGGAAAAGCTTGGATTCCCAAGCAGAAGCCGATGGATCCCGTTTTGGAAAGTGTGACTCTGGAGCCGGAACTGGAGGAAGCCCTTGCTAATGCTTCTGATGCAGAACTCTGTGACATTGCTGGTAAAATAATTTCACAGTAATCAGGGGTGAACGTTGTTCAACTTCTGGGGTTTATTTTGTTCTTTTGTGGGAAATGAGCTATTGGACTTTTTGCTGTTTCTCTACAGGCTGTCAGTTCTGACAGAATTTATTTATTTCTTTAAAAAAATTACTCTAAGCCTATGTGATTTAATCAAGAGTGTGGACCAAAGCTGAGCAGGGGGAAGAAGGGTTTATCTATGGAACAGTGTGTGGTTTGATCTCTTCCTTTGTCTCTGCCACTGACTGTTGCTAATTCCAGCCTGTACATTCAAGAGCAAAACTTTCTTCACACCTAATCTTAGGAAACAGTCAAGCAGACCCAGTGGATTTCTTGTGCAACCTGTTAAAGGCTCTGCCTAGAGGTTATAGAAGCCTTTCAGTGGACACTCAGGCCTGGTGGTTGTTAAGAAGCTTTTCCAACATATTTTAAGTGTTAGATTTGTTGTGGTTTGTGTGGTCAGGCAGTCAGATGACAGCACTGGTATGTTGCTGAAGGCCATAGTGTGGACTTACCTCTGTGCTTGGGATAGGGCATGCCTTGGCCAAAGGAGCAAATGGACACCCCATGATGCCTTATGAAGCTGACATGTGCTCTGCTGGTCCAGCAGCAGTGAATATTTCAGTGATACTGGCTTCTTCTTCCAGTTCTGTCTCCTTCAAGTTTCCATACTCCCTAGCAGTATTCTTCTTGCTGGAAGTCTGTAAGACTTACAAAGTCTGTGGAATAACTATACCCACTAGCCATCTTCTACATAATAATACCATCTTTTGGCTTAGAAATGTGTTTCTGCATTATGGCTCCCAAACATATGTACCCTGGCCAAGTATTGCATCTCTGGATTTTACTTTTATTGCTGCTGATCCTTGAGTCCGATAAAGCTCTATCCTGTAAAATCTGCCTTTCTAAGCTGCAGATCTGTGCAGCAATTATTGTCCCATGGAAATGCTCTTCAGGGCAGCTTGTTCTGCAGCTGCTGAGAGAATACACTTAAGTGGGAGCAGGAGTAGGGATGTGATACAAACTGTGCTGGAATCTCAGTATTGACAGTGACAGCCTTGCTCCTGCCTGCTTAGCAGGATTCCTTTAGCAGGAGCTCATTTTGCTCCTGCCTGTTTAGCAGGGATCATTGTGACCTGTGATGTGTTGGATCCCTTCCTTGGCAAGGCCAGGAGGGTGGCTCCCAGTAGCCCTGGAAGGTCTCCCATGCCTTTGGTGAGGTGAGGGAGACAGAAATGGGGTGTCTTTGTTCTGCCTGAATTCCTTTGGAGAATACACCACAAGCACCAGACTTGGAGAGAGTGAGTCCCTCTTGTCTACCAACACAAACCTGACCCCCAAATGCATGGTCATGACAGCAGATGCTTGCCTCTCTCTGCAGTCCAGATACTCAACTCCTGGCTGCTGGAGAGGCTCCATTGCCCAAGTAAGCTGTGATCTGGGGGCTATCTGTGTTACCAAAATGCTGAGCCTGCAAATTACTTTTCCAACCTGTGTTGCACCCCTGAAAATTCCATCTGTGGGAAAATGACAGAGCAAAGTGCCAGCTAAAAATACAAACAAGCAAACTTGAAGTGCCCAGCCTCACTCAGACTTTCAGATGGAGACTGCTTGGCTCTGTGAGATCCAGTTGGGACTGTGCTGGTGGCTTGGGAAGTTCACTGAGACACTTTGCTTCTGGCTGTCCAGCCTGTGCAACCCAGACATTGAGTCACGATGAGCTGTCACCATAACAGATCCTATTCTTGTGCTAGGCTTCAAGGATACCTTTCTCTTGCAAATTCCAGCTCTTCTTGGCCAAAGCAACAGAACATAGTGACAGACTGGTGCCACCCAAGTCTAAGAAGTGCCTTTGTGGTGGCATGCTTGGATTTTATGGAGAAATTTATTATTTTCACAACTGTGTCTATCCAGAGATCAACACTTGTTCAGATGTGTCTGTTTTAATGAGCATTCATATGTCTGCATTTTTCTTTAAAAAGTCATATAGCTATTAAAGAAAAAAGCTGTCCATTTAAAATAATTTTTATTTTCAAACTTGATCTTTCTGCATGTAGCAGGGTTACTTTTAGAAACAAACTCTTTACCCAGAAGTGCCTAAGCCACTGATTTCTTATTGGTCATTTGCAGATGCCAGGAAGTTCACCAGAGCCCCCAGACACGGTTCAATTTGCATTTTCATATTGGCTTTGCAGTCTTGAGTCTGAGAGACACAAATTGGCTGAGCTTGGCTTTTGGGCTCTTACAGCATTTGAATGGTGTTCATAGCACCACTCTTTACATTTTGACCAGGCAGCAGAGCTTTAGCTTCTCACAATATCCCCTTCCAAACATACCAAGTGCAGCACCCCAGCCTGCTGTTGAGTGAAAACATAATGTGCATTGCTATGCTTCAGGTGCCTTGGGGTCAGTTTGGCTCCTCGTGGGGCACAGCTCTTCACCAAAACTGGGCTGTGGAATTGTGTGGCACGTGTTGAGTGAGCAAGGGTGGTGAGGATGTGCAGGCTCCTGCTGGACTGGGCCACTTATACTAAAGCCTACCAATGGCATTTTTCTGAGTTTTTTACTGTCTTCTCCTCATTATTTTCATGTGATACTGAGTCAGGTAGGCTACTGGGAAGCTTTGAATGTTTGTCTGTTGTCCACAAGATGATGTTCCTCTTCCTCTATAGCTCAGGCTACACTGGAATAAGCAAGGGAGCACATTGGAGCACTGTTGTATATTTATGTCAGCTGGGGGGCTTCGTCCTGTCTTTGTATGCTTTTCTATGCTTACACAGGGAAAGGTAGTGTGCTGTGTCTTTTTCTGGCTCTGGAACCTACAATAAGTCATATTCTCCTGTTTCTGTAGCCATCCTTGGCATGCACACCTTGATGAGTAACCAGCAGTACTATGAGGCCCTGGGGAGCAGCACCATCGTGAACAAAGAAGGCCTCAACAGTAAGTGATTTACATTAGCAGGCTGCAGAATGTGAAGCTGCTAGCAGAGGCAAAGTGATAGTTATTTTTATGCTGAAGGTTAGAGATGTGCATGTCAGAGCAGCCTGTGAGTGCTGGGGCCATCTCTGGTGCATCCTTGCCCTGTGCCAGCCAGTGTGGTCTCAGCCACTTCCCTGGTGCCATCCGGGAGCCAGCGCAGCCCAAGGGACAGCTCCATGCAGTCAGTGTGCCTTCTGTCACCCAGATTTGGACCTTAGCAGCACACAGCAGCAGGCACTGGCTGTCCTGTGCTGGGTGGCTCCAGTGGAGTGGCTTCTCATCTCATGACTGCTTGTCAGGTCATTGGACAAGGCCTCCAGCTTCTGGAAGGGGAGGAAAACACTCAAAGAAAACATAGTGCTCCTCAGGCTGCTTTCATTTTCACATCTTGCTTTTCACTTGCAGGTGTGATTAAGCCCACAAAGTACAAACCAGTTCCTGATGAGGAGCCAAACTCAACAGACGTGGAGGAAACTCTCAAACGAATACAAAGCAATGATCCTGACCTTGAGGAAGTCAACCTTAACAATATTATGGTATTCGCTTCTTTCTACCCTCCTCTATTAGTAACAAGACTCTGATGCACAGAAGGCACACACTGAGTCTATTTTGCTGCACAGAGCAGTATCATAACACTGAATGCAACCAGACAAGAAACACCAGTTCTTCCCATCTCCATTGTAGGCAGCAGAATGGATTGTTATGTGCTGTGGCCTGGGGTTGGTAGCAGGAGGATTCCTCTGGAAAAATGGAGCTGTGTCAAGGGTGGTCTGGGGACACCCAAAACTGGATGTCTGGTTAAAGCGGTTTTAGGTTGCTTTAATGACTTAGATGGGCATATTTGGTGGAGGAAATGTTAATGAATAATGTAAAATGGTGGGAGGAAAAAGGTTTTGTAATCCAGATACTTGCCATAAAAATATGAAGTCACCCTTCTTGCAGGTAACTCTGTCTATTGCCCACCCATCCCTTCTGTGGGCTCCAACTTCTTGTAGAAAACAAGTCAGGACATAGCACCACTTCTTATGTTGCTGTTGGGACACATAAATACAATAAAAAGTACAGTTTCTATTTTGTGGGGTCTGTTGAATGGTGGCATAGCTGGACAGCAAGAACACGCTTAACTCCACATGCACATCAAAGACATTTTTGCTGTGCTACCCACACCTTTCTAAAACAGAAATATTTTTACTTTAATGTATTTGATTCAGACTAGTGACCCCGTCCCTTGAGGACACAAGGCTGAGGATTGGGCAGGCAGGCACTATTTTTGTGTTGAACCCATGACTTTGGGATGAGGTTTGGAGAACTGGGGAGTGACTGGATATTCTATGCTTCTGGGTGCCATGACTTTGAGTATAAATGATTCTACATGGTGGGATCCAAATGATGTGGCAAGAAGTCCAAGGTGAGGATGCCACTTACAATTTTAGGTGAAAATTTGAACATCTGAAAAGGGTATCTAAAGTTTTTCATAAGTGAAAAATACTGATTTTGGAGGAACTCAGAAAAAGCAGCATGGATTTTCTTTCTGGGCTGAGCCATAGCATGGCAAATGTTAGCCTGTAAGATGCTGTATAAAGCAGTCAGAGGTGTCTGTGATTTGTGTTATGAGGAGATAATTTCAGGCCTTTTTGGATTCCTGTAGGAGGAAATTTTCTAAACGTGGCATGAATGTTTCTCAGTGCTGCCATTCGTATCAGAGAGCACAGAAGCAGTGCTTTGAAGGCTCACGAATCCTGGTCACAAGTATCCCCACAATGCCCATGTTCCTAGGTAGCTGAGTTTCTGGGCAACTAAAGAGCAGAGATGTGGCTTCAAACAAAGGCAGTGAGCTTTCAGCAGAGCACAAAATAGGTTGAAGACATTGCCATGCTCCTTAGAACATGCTGGTTATAGCAAGAGAACTTGTGAAAACATTTTTCAACCCCTTCCCAAATTACTTCAGTGCATCTGGTGATTTGACCTTGATGAGAAGTTAAAATATCTTTTACATGTATTGCATATTCATTGCATACAGATGATGGCCTAACACATGATTTCTCATTTCTTGTCACAGAATATTCCCATACCAACTCTAAAAGCTTTTGCAGAAGCGCTGAAAAACAACACGTATGTGAAGAAGTTCAGCATAGTCGGGACCCGGAGCAACGATCCTGTTGCTTTTGTAAGTACTGTGAGCTCACTGTCCCCATGTTGTCACAGGAGCTGTTCCCAGGCAAAGCACTTTCAGTCTTATTGACTGACTGCTTCTGTGCCTTGTGTTGTGTCTGGCACGTTCTGCACCTCTGGCTGTTTGCTGGTGCTTCAGTTTCAGGAGCACCAGTGGAAGCCAGCAACAGACAGGCTTTGGCTCCTTCACTTCGTTTTTCATCTATGGAGGTTTCAGGGTGCAGTCCTTTAATCCGTGCAGGCCCATATTTGTCCTCTAGGATCTCCTGGAAAAAGAGCGTGAGACAGCAGCTGATGTCCTCCTAGTGGCATCTTCTAAAAGCAGTTTGTCTCTGTTTCTGGAGATTTGTTTCTGTTCAAAGGTCTGCACACCTGCTGCTCCCCTCACACACCTCCGTTCCAGCTGTCTGTCATATGTTCTTTGTGCAGACCTGTGCAGAAGCAGGATTCTGCATCTCCTAATATGTGGCCCCTGTAGGTGATAATGGGTCTTTCTGGCTGCTGTGAGTGATCTTAAATATCAGTGGGGACACAGGGAGGGGCCAGTCATTCTGCCTGTCCTTTGTGCTGGCTTCCAGGCTTCATCTTTACATCCTTCTCCAGCACCACTGCAGTCAGTTTTTGCTCTCAATCACCCAGGTTATCCACACCTACCTCCACACACACACACACACACACAAACATACACACAGAGACATGTGCACACCAATTTCCTACCAGAAAAAGAAACTTTCTGCAATACTGCTCTTCAGTTACTTCAGGCACTTTGGACTGGGGAGACTGCCTGTGCAGGCAGGACAGGTGCTGTGTAAGAGCTTGAGGGGGGCTGTGCTGGGCTAGGGGAGCTGTGGGGCTAAATGCTTTGGGTGCAGGTTAGCCCTGCCATGTGGGCATCGCCTTCTGGTCCTTTTGCTTCACGCACATGAATCCTCCCTTGCAGTTTATTTGAAGTGACACGATCTGATCAGGTCTGGGGTGTTACGAGCATTCCAACCACTTCTGGTCTTACCCACTAAGGAGACAAAAATGACCAAGATGGTTGTTATGCTGCTTGGGAGGACACCTTGGATGTGGAGATCCCTTGTTGTTCAAGACATGCTCCTCTCTCTGCATGTTTTAATGGGAAGCATCTCCACCCTGTGCAGGGCAGGCAGGGCCAGTGCTGGTCAGCATCCTTGTCATACTGTGCTGGCTTTAGAGGAGGGACAGATGAAGCTGTCACAGGGCAGCTGCAAGTGTGGACTATCACCTTCTGGGGTGGTCCCAAGTGCTGGTCCATGAGAGGTTTTGCTGTGGCCTCCAGCACGCTCATGTTCAAGAATCCCCGTGCAGCAGCAGGGAACACCCTTCACTCCACCAAGAGCACTTCCATCTGGTGTCAGTGAAACTGCACAGCGTGTGGGATCCTCCAGGAGTACTCTGAAGGTGAGGGGGGCTGAAGCCCTGCTGTCCTGTGGTGCACTGCCCCTGCCTGTCTGACTGCCAACTCTTCCTGCCCACCTCTGTCCACAGGCCCTGGCAGAAATGCTGAAGGTCAACAGCACACTGAAGAGCCTGAATGTGGAGTCAAACTTCATTTCTGGGTCTGGGATCCTGGCTATTGTCGAAGCACTTGAGGGCAACACGTCGCTTGTGGAGCTGCGCATTGACAACCAGGTAAAGGCAGCGTGGGTGGCAGCTCTGGGCAGGTGAACGTGGCCTGCGTGTGGGGGGCGATGTGCCGGGATACAGAGGCTGAGAAACACACAGCCTGAAGCAGCTGAGCTATGGGCAACTCAGAGGCAGCTGACTGAGAGACCAAAATCCTGGTTTCTGCAGATGTCCAGCAGCTGCTAATCTGTCTGAGAAATGAAGTCTTTGGGCAAAGGGAATGTCTGCTGGAGAAGCTGGAGCCTCTCAGTTGTAGCGTGTGTACAGGAACAGACCAGTGGTTTGTTTTACCAGCTCCAAGTCAGACATGGACAGAGGTCCAGAGAAAGATCTGCCATCTCCACCCCTTCCCTCTAAGTGCTTGTTCTGAATCACCCTCTAGCCTGAACAGCTTGCTTTTCTGTTTTCTGTTTTCAAAAGAGTCAGCCCCTGGGCAACAAGGTAGAAATGGAAATCGCAAATATATTGGAAAAGAACACCTCCCTGCTGAAGTTTGGGTACCATTTCACTCAGCAAGGTCCCCGGCTTCGCGCCTCCAATGCCATGATGAGTAACAATGACCTGGGTGAGTCAGGCTGGCCAAAGGCTGGGAAGCATGGGAGGGTCCTGTGGGCAATTCCTGGTGGGATTAGTGCAGAACTGCTCATGTTAAAGATGCGTATGAATTAGAATGTGCCTCTTGAAGGGCCTGATGACGCTCTGCCCTTCAAGGAGGAAGGCAGCCTTCACCAGCTGGTTTTTACTGAGCTGCTGTCAGCCAGGCAATGTTTTTTGTAGTAACAGTGGGCATTGTTGGGAAGGAGCAAGAGCTGCTGATGTGCTTCAGTAGAGCTTGTGATACAGCATGTGGCACATGGGCTATGAGCTTCTAGCATTTGTGATTCCTGCCAACTGCTTGTCTTCCTCCAGCTTCATTCCCCCTTTAACAAGGAGATGAGAAATAGTAGAGTTGAACTTTGACAGAGTTAAGGTTTGGCCCATCCCCCTCAGCAAAACAAACTGGAACTGCTTCTAGGGGCAGGTGGGAAGCCACATTGCTTTGAGTTATCTGTATACCCTCGATGAAGTGATTAGACGTGCTTGAGAAGCAAAATGTGGGCAAGTCTGCAAACTGCCATTTCAGCCAAAGCACGAGGCAGAGCCTTTCCATTGCTTGGCTATAAGCTGCTGTAGAGCACTGGAAACCAGGCCAGCAGAGCAGTGCTGAATGCAGCTAACACACCCACCACACTGTATACAGCTGTACTATCAGGCAGATGATAAATTTGTTGTTTTTTAAAAACAAAAGGATAAAATAAACCTTGCTTCTGCCGGTGCTCTGCTCCTAGGAAGCACAGCCAGGCTATGTACAAGTTCTTCAAGGATCACACAAAATACTCAGTACCTAGTCACTCAAGCACTGTGCTGGGAAAGGCTTGCTATTTTCTGTCCTTTGGAACAGAACATGATTTTTAATGACTCTGCAGCACCTGGCATGCAAAGTAATCAGCTCAAATATTTACAATCTAGTATTTTGATTGTTCCTGCTGTTAAGAGAACGAATTCACAACTTGCTTTCCATGTAAGAGTTGTGTATTTTGCCTCCTTGGCCATTAAGATCTGTTATTTTTTGTCTGATTTGGTTCTTGTTTGCAGCTCATATTCATCCATCTGATGGCCTCTGGCAATAGCATCTCAGCTGTACACCTGGACAATGCATAAGTAAAAAAACCCTTTATTTTCCTCCCTCTCAGCAATAGCTCTCTGCTTGTGCTCCACTCCAGTGTTCTTGCCTATCAGATGCCACCAGAACATGGTTTTGGTCCCTTACCTTCTGTTCCCTAAGATGCTCTTTGTGAACCGACTTGGAAGGCTTTATGTTCATCTTCATCAGCTAACTTCTGCATTCTCTTTATACATTTTTGTTCTGGCTTTTTTTCCCCACACCTTTCTTGGAAAGTCATGAGTGTAGGTGTCAAGAGGTATAAATCAACTTTTAAGACTAGATATGAGACTGTTTTGGCCATGTTAACCATGATCAGAGGACTGGAGCCCAATGACTTAGGATAAGAAGAGATTTTTAATTTTTTTTTTTTTTAATTGAAAAGGCAGAGTTTTAATTTGAAAAACTAGCAAAGGAAAAACTGTGACATCTGTTTCCTGCTGTCTCTCCATCAGTCAGATGATGAACTGGCTGAAGTCCAATTACAAAGACAAACTGTGAAATATAATTAACTACAAAATAAGGGAGGTAAGGCTGAAAGTAGCTGCTGGCCTTAAAAATGCATAGGGAGAAAAACCTCATCTTCCTTGATTTTACTGTATAAGGCTGTGCCTGCTGCTTAAGGCAGGAATTCAGAAGCTGATGCTATTCTATTTCTTTCCTGGCAGAAAGTACATCTTTCAGCTCCTTTCTACAGCTGTTAAGGCAATCCTGCCATCCACATTATCCCGTTGCCATGACTGACTCCTCTTTCTCTTCTTTTTCAGTGAGGAAGAGAAGACTTGCAGAGGTGAATGGGCCTATTTTTCCCAAGTGCAGAACTGGAGTGTAGTTCCTGACTATGGAGGTCATTCCCAGTGATCTGTGCTACACTGTGGAAATCTAAAGGCAATTAAGTGCCTTGACAGAGTATTTGTGGTGCCTCTGTTCTGTTTTATGCACTAACAGTTGAAATGAAATAGTGGCTGTAGTTTGTATCAAGATTTTATCCAGTAGGACTGTTGATGTTTTCTGTAGAGCTGGAAACTATTCAAGCCAACGTGTCAATTTTATGCAACCTCAGTTTAGAGTACAATCCAGCGTTAAAGGGGATTAATTTTTCTATAAAATTCCTGCACGGTGTTTCATAGTTAGGATGTGGTATGCATGAATGAAAGATACAATTGTTTCACACAAATTATAGAAGTATTAAAAAAATACTTTATTTTTCAAAGTTGATCTCAAGTAACTACAGAGGAGAAACTAGCATTTAGCAAGCACTTCTAACATCTGGAAACATGGCTAATTTCAAGAATTGAGTTACAATTTTTTGCCAACATTTGCTGAATCATTTGAGATGTTGTGTCAAATGCATCCCAGTGTTTCTTATAAAAAACTGATCTCCACTCCCGATTAAATGGAATTTAAGGCCACCAAATATAAAACAGTCTCAAAAATCAAGATGGGTGAATATCCTTCAATCCCATGCACATGTGAAGGAAGCAGTCATTCTTAGAGGTGCAAACCCTAACCCCCAGAGCTGGCCAAACTAATTGGCAAATGAGAACCTTCTCTTTTACTCCCCACTCCTTCAGTTTCCTAGTGTTAAAAGCGTTTGTCCAGATATTCACTGCAGACAGGTCAAATTCTCTCCCTTTGCTGTTTTGTCTAGATGAACATGTCTATTAACTAAATTTTGTTCTACTAGGAATTATTTCTCTTACTGCTGTCCCACATGTCCACATAAATGCAAGAATAAATGCTGTGCCCTAAAAAAGCTGTGAAGTGAAATACCCCAAATTCTGAACTTACACTACATATGATCTCACAGCTTTTTGTCAGTGTACACTCATCATCCAGCCTGGGAGGAATTCCCCACAGGCTTGTGCATCTCCCAGACCTGCAGCAGACTGGACCCAGCACATCCGAAACTCCTACTGTTAACGTGGGTGGGATCCTGCTCAGTAAGAAGTCTCCACGGAAAAAGCATTGCTGTACTGAAACCTTAATCTTGGGCAGATGACACATCCTAGAAAATGTTCTCTCTTGCTAGAAGTCTACCTCTAAATGTCTGTTAGAGAGTGAAGTTTTTCAGCCTTTTACATATATTCTGGCAAAGTCCCAGAGATTTCTCCAGAGCTTGTGCACAAACACCGCTGATGATTTAGCTCTGACCAGCGAAGCAGAGAACACTATTCAGCAATGTGGGAAACATACTTGTTGCTCTCCAAATCTTAATAAATGTGCCCATGGTGTCATATAAAATGCTTTACCACAGCTTGTTTCCTCCACTGTGCAAGTTCTGTATCAGAAAATGAATGTGGAATAAAAATACTTGAAAACATATTAAAATGAAAAAAACTGGCAGACTTTAAAAAGTACTTCCTTCTATGTGCACTGTGAAGACTTTGAAATGACCAACTGAATCATCAAATTAGAGCTTTGATGGCTCACTTCCAGCTGAGCCATCTACTCAGATTTGCATGACACAGGCTCAGCTCTTCCCCTGGTTTCAGAAGTAAATTAATCTTATCTTGGAAAGACCTGGTGGTACTTAGAAGCACAGACATGCAAGGAGATGCATCTGCAGACCAGGGACCACTACCACATGCATACTACTACAAAAAAAAGATAAGAACTTTGTCCTGTGTTTCACTGTAGCAGCATCCACATTAACCTTGCAGCCCAAAGGTATATTAAGCTGCCAGGATCATCCCAGGTTCCCTGGTTGATCCTCACAGAGCTGTTTTGCTGCAGGATGCATCTGACAGCTGAGGGTGGTGCAGCAGAGACAGGCAGTGCTGAGGCATCAGGCTGTGTGGTGAAAGGCTGTAAGCTGTGCAGCAGTGGAGCTACAAAATGGTGATACTTAGGAGCAAATGTATCCCTGTTTGCAAATCTGGCCCAGCAGCTCCCTGGGAAAAAGGAGGAAAAGCCATCTGGTGACTGCAGCATCTGGCAGTCACAGCCCATCCTGCTGAAAATTCTTCCCTCTCCTGGAGCACATGTGCCTTCTCTCGGGCATTACCACTGAGATGCCTGGATGCTACCACATAGCTTTTCACATGGCAAGTCCTTATTTGTATTAATCTGACAAAACCAACCCAGAAAACAGAACAGAGAGCCCCTTATGGGCTAACTTGCAAGAAACAGGCTAAAACGTCTCTTATCCCCTTCTCTGCTCCCTGCAGCAGAGAGAACATGGCTTTTTGGGACTCCATCTGTATATCTCAAATCCTTCTCCTCCCTTACCTTATTGCAGCAAGGACCAGGAGAGGCCTCATGGCTCCCCTCTGCCTTTGAGGTAGAATCTCCAGCTGTGAGGAGCTCTCAGAATTGTACCTTGTAGCCAGGTCTACCATGTGGCAGACTAGCTACTTTCAGTGTTTATCTCTGCAGAATTAAGCACCTCCAACATAGTACATGAAGTGTATTTGTGCAGTACTTAAAAAATTATAATGGAAGCACTAAAGGTTATTTATCATAGATGTTTCAGAAATTTACATATAAAATAAAGTTGTTCCCATCCTGTATTGATAAGTGATACAGAAACAGCATTGCAAATTGATTACAGTGTTCCATTCCTGCTGATAGACTGAATTACAAAATTGTGTTCTTTTTAGCCTAACACAGGAAGATCATGGGGCACTCCCCATCAGTGCTTTAGATCAGACCTACAAGTAGAACTTGCATGTTTCTTCACAAATACTCCAGTCCTCAAAACCACGGAGGTTAACCGGCCAGCAGGGACCGAGAAGCCAGGGAGACACTGGCACTGCTCAGACTCCTGCTGAAGGTGTCTGCTGATGGGAATTTTCTAATTTCTTCTCAAGGATGGGTTGTTCACAGATTTACTATTAAATACTATCCTACAAAGGTTCCCAAAGGAAATACTCCAAAGCTCCAGGGTTTTGCCTCGTTAATAGAATTGTCTTGAGGACAGCTGGTGAACTGTTGATTTCATGGTAGCAATACTGGAAGCAATAAGAAATGTTTGTCATGGCTTTAATGGAACCAATGCCCATGTATTTAATTTGCTAGTCAAGGTAACAACGAGGCCTTGCTGAATTAATAGCACCATGGGAGAAAGGTACAATCTATATGAAAGTAACATGGCCCTGTCATTAAGCAACTGCAGAAACCTAAGAAACTATTTTCTTGCTTTTAAAAGCATTTCCCAGTAAAAAACCCCAAACCTAGTGACTTTGATGTCCTAATGACTTACTGTTTAGTTCCCAGAACAGCAGTAAATTTCAAAGACATTTTTCAGTCAAGACACATCTTCCTAACTATTAATAAATCCTTTCTGTACATTCTACAGCATCAGGCACACAACACAGCACGTGGAGCAGTATTTTAAGCTCATTTGCTGTAGATCCCTTCAAAGACAATTCCTCCACTAACAAGTGCTGGAAATTGCATAAACATCTTCAGTCTTTAAAAATCTCAACTCATGTTTAAAAAGCACAAATGCTTCCCAGAACTTGAATTATTTAACCTGGATAAAGGATCTTGCAGTCTCCTCATAGCTGTTGCTGATATTTATGCACACATGCATCACTTCCAGTGCCATGATGCTGGTATTTTGACAGTCTCTGTGCTCCCCTCTTTGTTTGCTTGTTTTAACATGGTTCAAGCTGTTAGCTTTTTTTAGTGCAAGCAGAGCTGAGCCCTGCCTATTTCATACACTGACAAGCTGAGGGGAAAAAACAGTTCCCAGGGAGACTGAGCACTGGAGAGAAGATTGGGTTTGCTGTTCATCCTACAGGTCACACAAGTATGGCTAGGCAAACAGTGTCTCTAGGCCTTTGCTCCAGCTCCTTAGGCTGCCTTCAGCCAGTTTTACAGGAGTTAAGCCAGTAATTTCAGGCAACATCGCCTTGCTTGATGGCATGCGTGTGGAATATATCTTCAGGATCTAGTCTGGTCACATACCCACACCAAACTGATAAATCTGCTGTTTGCACACCTTACTACAAGCTATTGAAGCAGATGCATGATCCTTGGAGAGGTCAGAAAGGTTGATCTCCATGCAGGAAGAAAAAAATGGAATTGTTCTTGAATTTCTTCAGTTTCTTTTGAATTGTGAGCAGCTCTGTCACGTTGCAGATACTCTGCTCCAAAATCCCCATGATAAAGGCCACACTACAAGACTGTACCCAGAGAGAGGAATCCTGTAGTGCTAGTGATGAATCGGGCACTCTGGTAATTTACAGGCAAGTAATGGATGGTTTTCAGGGCATATTCTATGTTTAAAGGCAGCATATGAACAAGACTTTCCAAGCCGACATATTTTCATAATTTCCAAACCTAACTGATTAACAGATAGAGATCTGGTTACAGAAGCCCTTTACATGAGCACATGCCAGATAAACCAGTGAAACAACTTAATCTTTTCCTGTGTCCAGCATCCTTGATGAGACACGTTCAATTGGTACCCTTGGCCGTCTCCTTGTACATTCACACTCCTCCTTAAGTATCTGTCCTGAAGCCCTTGAAGTCACCTTGAGCTCCTTCTCTTGACAAACAGGACAGCAAGCTGTTAGACCTTTGTTGCAACAACTTGGACACGTCAGGACAAGCTGCCGGCAGTGCTGACTGGAACAAAGTTTATATTGGTCCCACAGCACCCCACAGTATCTGCATGCTGGAGGGAGGAGGAAAAGAAAAAGTTAACACCCATACTGCTCTGGCTGCTCCCTTGCAGAGGGCTTGCCAAGGCACCATGGGGCTGCCAGCTCTCTATTGTAGGTTTTTAATTCCTGTTTAGCTTGATCTTCTAGAATCTAGTTCAATTTAGAACATCTTTTTTGACATACTTAAGACAGTTTTTCCCTCTGGAAAAGAGAAGAGTAGCTCACTAATGCTTTCTCTAGTTCTGAATAGACAGATATAGAAATTCTTACTGACAAGAGAAGAAGAAAGACATGCAGGTGGCAACTAAGCCAGTATGCAGGAATGTCACCTGCTGAGGAGGGGGATACCATGGAACTTCCTTCCATCTACAAACAATGGCTTGTGCAGACAGGGTGCCATTTGCAGTCCTGGTAGAGTCCTTCCAGAACATTATGGGGTTTAACTCTTTAACTGAAAGCTACAGCCCAGTTTTAGCTGTACCAAGAAGGTACATATCTCAGCACTTCCCCTTGAAACTTCTGTAGGGATGGCTGTGATGTATCCAGAGTATGTTCTGTTTCCATACCAAGTCAGGCCCCTTCAAGATGTACAGAGTATAAATGCAGAGGAGGAATGGGAGTTTATGCTTGAGGAAGTTACCAAGTCAGCAAAAAACCAGCACTGCTGAAACTTCTGTAGGGATGGCTGTGATGTATCCAGAGTATGTTCTGTTTCCATACCAAGTCAGGCCCCTTCAAGATGTATAGAGTATAAATGCAGAGGAGGAATGGGAGGTTATGCTTGAGAAGTTACCAACTCAGCAAAAAAACAGCACTGCATCCTTAAAAGAAGGATTAGAGCCAAATTCCAGCTACTTGTATCTAGCAACCGATAGCAAAATAAGAGATTACTTAATTTGCAGTAATTGAAGAGCAATCCCAGCCAGAAGATCAGGCAATGTTCTCAACAACTACGACTAGAGGCCACTTGAAATTCCATGTGATATAGAATTTCTTAAGCATAAAAATAATAAATTGCTGTAGAGCATAGTGCCACTACTCTCCCAATATCTGGAAGTCTTTGTTGATATTCTGTGAGACTGCTGAAGCAGAGGACTGCTGGTAGCAGGAGAACTATTTAAGGCTTTGGTCGCTTGGCCAGACACAGTCTACTCAGCACTGTAGGCAATCAGGTGGTAACTACAGCTGTAGTGCTGGACATATGTCTCCACAGGTGCAGAGGGCTCATAACAGAGCTGATCTGCAGGGGATACTTCCTTCTACTGCTCCCGTTTTAGTGAACTCTTGTTACTGACCCCCTTTCCTCTCATTTCTGTTTTACATGTTAAAGCACATGTAAAGCACATGTACATGTTTACATATAGTGTTGATAGTCATCACGAGAAGTGACTGCACTATGAGATCAAGCCAAGTATCAAGGAAGAACTACACAGGCCAGTTTGGTTGTCCCTATCCTGCACACCTCTTGAAATTATTGCAATAGCTTCCCAGCCTTGTGCACTTACATTATCTAGTCCTACCTGAGATGATATCTTCATTGGAACAAATGGCGTAACGATCATCAAATACAAACAGCTTCCCCCTGTAGAATCCATCTGGAAACTCTTCCAGGTACTTGTGAATTCCACCTTTTAGCTGGTAAACCTCTCTGCACACTGCCTGTTTAAAGCATATTAGCAGAAAAACTGAAGGAGACCACATCATAGGTGGTGTGCCAGAGTTCCCAAAG